TTAGCTCAGTGGCATAAGCAGCTACCTGGCAAGCGCAAGGTTGTGAGTTTGATCTCTAGTACCAAAACAATAAAATAAATAAAAAAAATGATTAAATGGCAACTTAGTAAATAATGGGGCTAGAAATCATACCTACTTACAGAATCCGCCTTCCACAGGGCATATTAACTTTTTATGTACATATCAATTTTTAAATGAACTATATTTCTTTTTAAAGAAATATACTATTTCACTAATTTCTTAAAAAGTTGCAATTAATATGTTCATCCACTTATCTTTCTTAGTATTTTTCGTGTTGTTTACTAAGAGCTCTTCTACATGAACTTTTTTAGAGTTTATGATATGGTTACAAAATAATACTTACATCTATCTATATTCTTAACACATCTTTACAATGATCTATTTTCCTATGATAATAGTCAAAATCATCTTCAAAAGTACAGACAGCATATAATTTACTTTTTTAAAATTTTCTGTACTAGGGATTAAACCCAGGACCTGTGTATTTGAGGTTAGTATTCTTATATCTGAGCTACACCCCCAACTAGTCAATTCATATGTACATATGTTTTTCTTCTATATGTATGAATATTTTGGTAATTAAATCATTCATAAAAGACTAGCTGGTGAAAGCTGAATCTTACATTTCTATTTTATTTAAAACTACCGATAAAAACAGGCTACAGATTTACAAAATTCTTTAATAACACAGTTACATCATCTAATTTGTTTCATTGAAATAAATATTTATTTTTAAATGCTACACAATAGTTACCTGTTAAATATGTATTACTACTACTTTGATTACTTAGGCAACTAACATATTATTCATAGCATACTAATGCATATTTATCTGACCAACTTACATTACAAAATATTATAATGTTAATTACTGTCATCATTTGTAGTCAGAAATTACAGATTTTCTTATGCTTTATATAAAAAGTGTATCACAAAATATCAATATAGTATAAATGGGTACATGCATATATTTGAATATTCATTCTATTTATATTTGAAGCCAATTATGTAATACTTATTTTACTTCAAAATATTGACCACAAATATGATTTTTTATGTCATTTGAGAATACATATTATAAAATACACTTACATGCCAGTAACATGACTGATGATGATAACAAGCATTAATTTTTCTGCAAAGAATTTTTGTGCAATTTTAAAATGTACTCATTATTTATACAGTAATCTTGATTTTTATATTAAAATGACACATTTAATTTTAAATTTCATTTTTTTTTTTTGTCTCTACTAATAGTTTTAAACTAGTGTCAATTATTTACTGACCTCTAGTGGTAATATCTACACAGAAAATTCAGTCTCCAACTATCAGTTTGTCCCTTAGAACATATCTAAGGATAGAAATTTAATATAAAATTTTTCACAACTTAGAGCCCAGTTTTATACACAGCAATGAATGAAGGGAATGCCACAAAGATGGGCACAAGAAGAAAACACTAATCTTTTTCTGAATGAGAGATGTGTAACATGCCAAACCTTCACTTTCTGGAATACTACTACTGCAATTCTCTTCACTTAAAACCACATTTCTGAACATATCTCATCATACAGCTTTGCTGATCTCTTTCCAAAATCAATTCTCTTCTTTGATCTGAAATATGTCAAAATTCTACGGCCATACCACCCTGAATGCACCTGATCTCGTCTGAAATATGTCAAAATTCTTATAAAAAGTAATTTTTGGCAAAGTTCAAGGGCCAAAGACCTTTAACATGTTGCCTGTATTAAGAGAAAAACTTATGTGAAGTGTCTTTGAGGCTATTTTGCAAGAACAGAAAATAGATCAGGCATTTTAAAAATGAAAACTGTTCTTAGTCAACACTTCTGTCATTGTTACATGCAAGACAGTGACTAGGATTCAAAAAGTTCATCGGCAACAAAATCTTACTTTCTCCCATCTAGTAGTTATGCCAGTTATAATGGGTTACATAAAACCTTTTCTTCCAGGAGGAAGTACTCCTAAAATGAAGACTCAAAGCTGTTAGTAAGACTGAAATATGACCTACTTCTTTTCTATGAATTTTATAGTTAAGCACTTTTTTCTTTTTTTTTTAAGAGAACTTTCTTCTTTTCAAATAAAGTTAACTGCAACATGCTAGGCAAATGCTTAACTTTGTACACGTCAAAATAACAATCGCATATATAATCATTCTAATTTTTCTCCAATAGTGAATTGCTTATACTACTTTTCAGTTCTATCGGCTTTACTATCTACTGTAAGTTTAGTAGTATCCTGAATAAAACCACACTAAAAAAATTCACTTGGAATACACTAATAAAGTGTAAATCAACCCATTAGCCTCACAGGTAAGTTTGATAAAACATAAATATAAATTTTAAAAGATATTTTATTTGGGAAAGAGATCCTTATTATTTACAAGGGTGTCAGAGTTTTCTTTTGTCTTTTAACAATGAAGCCTTATCTTTCTGAGAGGGAAGAAGGCTGACAAATTAATTGGATACTTCAAAAAGAAAATTTTTTTAGGTTTCTTAAAGCTCCCACTTTTCAAAGTAAAGGAAAAATATATTTCAAGTAAATTCACAAGTCTTGTGCAACAACACATCTACAGACATTGTATCTTTTTTAAAACTCAAATACAGACTGTGGTTTTCCTACAGTACTACTGGAAGTATCACTAAGAAGTTTGAAGGCAATTTCAAATAAAGAGGGGTAAGAAAGCACGCAGTCTTATAGAAATCACAATACTACAAACACTTTTACAACACATGACTTTATAAACAGTTCTTCTACTTATTCATTTATAGGGCTGCTAACTTCATTTTTCTTAGGATTTCTAAGGATTTTTTTTTTGTCCTAGGGATCGAACTCATGACCTTGAGCTTGCCAGACAGCCACTTGTGCCTGCTGAGCTAAATTCCTGACCCCTTAACTAAGGTTTAAAAGTGTAAAATTATGGCACATTCTACCATACCTTATCAAAATAATAAACTGCATCAACTGCACAATTATTAACTTAAAATCCACATTGTTTAGAACACAGCAGAAATAAAATTACTCCATCCTCATGAAAACCATAGCAGAAAAGATATACTAAGAAAAGAGAAATACTAATACTGTGCAAATACTAAGAGAAACTCTAGGACGGCTATACTCCTAACAGATAATATTCCCTATGTCTAAACAACACATAATTTAAGAACAGCTAAAGATATAAAAAAATACTTCTTTTTTTGGTACCAGGCTCAAACTCACAACCTCGCGCTTACCAGGTAGGTGCTTACATCACTGAGCTAAATCCCTAACATCTGTAAAGAATATATTTTGACAGACTTGAAGTCTCGTAACAAATACAAAACAAAGACAGGAATAAAATGATGACATATACTCTCTTAATTATATACTGCCAATCTCTGATTATTACTGTATGGAGGTCTTTTTAGTATGTATTACTAAAATTAACTATAACACACATTAAATGGTTTGTCCTAAAGAGCTGGGATGACAAACGATAGTGCTTAATAAAAATCATAAATATGAACACACAGGGCCCGGGACTTAGATCAGTGGCCTATGTACCTGCCTGGCAAGCTCAAGGTCATGAGTTTGATCCCTGATACCCCCCAACAAATGAACATACAAAATTATAAACATAAAGCACTAACATTATTATTATTATTATTTTTTTTTTTTTTTGATAGTGGGAACTGAACTTCGGACCCTGCGCTCGCCAGGCAGGTACTTATGTCGCTGAGCTATATGCCCAGCCTAGCATCAAGCATTTTACAAATAAAGCTATTTTATAAAATAAAAGAATTAAGGGGCTGGGGATTTAGCTCAGCAGCATAAGCGCCTGTCTTGCAAGCAGGCGGTCGTAAGTTTGATCCCCAGTACCGATAAAAAGAAAAAAGGAAAAAAAAAGTGTAAAAAAAAAAAAAAGAATTGGAGCAAAAGAGTAGACAGGTAAATTTGTAGGCAGTACTAGGGACTGGAAACTGTTAAAATTCAAATTGCAATATCCAGTCTTTAGACATGTTAGGAAGATATTTTAAATCTATGGCAATCATAACATATGTTGCAGAAAAAGAAAAGAACAAATGAGGATGGCCTTGTCACTACTGCTATAAAAAATGTATACTCCAAATTAGAGTGTCAACTTTTTCTTCCTACTTTCTACTATAAATTCACATTTACACTCTCACTAACTATCTGGCTAATGAAGGTCAGTCAGTCTGTTTTAAGCACTGTCTGTTATTTAGGGACATGATTATAACAAAAACTCAACAGGGAAGACAAATACTAGAAGTTATCCCAGTTACAGAAATAAAGCTGAATTTTTTGGAAGCTTTAAAAGTACAAGAATACAAAATTAAACAAATAAATAGAAGTACAAGATAAAGATGTGGTTTGGGCTCACAAAACAGAAATTTAAGGAAAAATCAAGATAAGCCTAATTAAAAATTTTCTATATGTTGTTTATAGAAAGTACTATTTTGTAATATACCTATTTTCAAATTCTTGCTTTCTCTCCGTCTAAAACAATGTGTAATAGAAGGTGGCAAGGATGACAATGACAAAGTAACAAATAGGAATGGAGTCAATACAAATATGGTGAACCAGTTTAACTTTTATGAAGATAATGGTTTTTATGAATATTGTTATTAAATGGTAAGCTTAAAATTTGGAGTGATATGTCCATAGCATTATCATTCAGAGATAGCACTTTGGAAATACCTCACTAAAAAGATATACATGTATATTTTTGCTAAATTTAAAAGCCTCAATTTTTGGAAATTTTTTTAATTTTCCTTAAAAAATCTCTTGTCACAACAAAGGTCCAAATTTTTACGTAAGTTCTGCTAAATAAGCAGTGCTAAATCATACTGGCCCATATTAACGTCAGCCTAGAAAAGTAAGTCCTAATGCCAAAGTGCAATAAATCTGGAAAATCACACATTCTTAAAAACTTGCAAGTGTGTTACTGATTTTTCAACACTTACGGCTATCGTAACATACGTTTCCCAGAGCCCTGCCTGTTTGAAGCAGCACTTCCTGGTCTTTACTGTTTAGCAGCTGTACCAGTGGTGAAATCAAACCAGCATCCACACATGGAGTTCGCATAAACTCTGGAAATAAGAGGCATAATTTAATTAAAAATCAAAAGATTCACAATTTATATTAAATCACCTCCCTTAATAAAACAAATCCTTACTATTAAAACAGATAAGATGTCTTAGACTTGAAGAGTATATTTCTGTTCAAAATATTCGCAGCTACATTATTCAACATGTCATGAAGTAAGTACACAAAATATGAGGAGGGTCTTTTTTTCTCTGTTGAGACTCTGTTGAGTCTCTGAAGGATTTTTAACTGACTTTTACTATAATTTACCACTCTCTTCCCAGAGGAGCTGGATGTGTTTTGGAGGCTGCACATCACAATAGCAGTGCTCTTTATATAAGTCTGATAATTAAAGTACTACAGTTAAAAACTAAGCCCCTGAATTGCCTACTTTTCATTGTATGTTCTCTAAAAAACCAAAATAAAAGTTTACTATGAATCATTATCAACTTTAGTAGGTCCTTTTTCAATTGATAAGACCTCGAGAAAAGGAATCATGTTCTCCTTATATTTAGTCTTGTTCTTTATTAAAATTCATTTTATAGATAATTTATATTTGTAGTTGTAGCCACGCATTTCTAAGTGTAAAGCACCAAATATTTGCTTTTTTAATACTTCAAACTCATTTCTTTTATAGAATACAATTCTCTGAGTCCCAATGATTAGAAATAAACTGCTGCTTTTTTACAGTGCCTCATAATGAACCATTACAAAATTTAAAGATTAATGAAGACATGTAATTGATGAAAGTTCTCCAATAATTAGTATTAGGGCATTCAGGACACTGCAATTTATCATAAGGCTGGTCAATAAAGGTAATCAACAATGAGCTAATTCTTCAACTTATAATTTGTTGTATTAAGTAGTCCTCACTACCAAAATAAAGGATTTTATTTCTATATCATCTCTTATTTATCACCATATTACTGAAAACTTTCTGCAATTTAAACTTTGGAGAGTAAGAGTAGTTCCTATTTTATTTATTTACTTTGGTGTATGGAGTGTCTGTATTTGACACAGAGCCTTGCTATGTATTCTAGCTGGCATCAAACTCTTGACAGTCCTGTCTCAGCAACCCACATGCAGGGTTTACAAGCACATGCCACATGTCCTCTCTCTCTTTATGTTCTCTTCTGATTATCTGAGCACATCAGATAGGAGTACATGGGCACGTGTAACTGTGAATGTGTGTTACTGGAGTCTGAACCCAAGGCCTTAGTATAAGCTACATCCCCAGCTCTTTATTTTTGAGACAGAGGCTAAGGTTGGACTTGAATTTATGATCTTTGCTCAGTCTCCCAGTGCTAGGACAAGCATATATTGCCAACCCGACTTACTTTCTTGGAAAGGTAATGTTTATAACTGATGGTTTAAACTCAGTAGAATGGGGTACCCTACCATCTGTCAGGAAAATGAATTATACATGCCTATGAATTCAATAATCATCTGCAGAAGATGACACACCGATCCAATTGTTCTACATTGTACTTTGAGTGCTCTGGTACAATGTAGACATGTAAGAGTAGATTCTGCCAAGAATTACTGTTAGTATTATTATTACTAGGTACTTTGAGAGTTTACTTCTTAACAGGAAGAAATACAGACACCTGCTGTCTTATTTTTTTCAGTGGTTCAAAGACTATAATGGAGGGGAAATTTATTTAAAAAGGTTTAACAATCCTTTATTGTAATTTATTAGCAGAACTCTTGATTTTGAGCTTACCTATGAAGTATCTTACTAATATCTGTACTTTAAAGGACACAGGTATGCTAATTTTTATTCTTTTTTGTATGCAAAAATTTAAACAGATTTTGTGTTTAATCTGAATCAATAAAATACACGTTAATACATCTCCAGTCATTACATAATATGCATAGCAAAGATGAACAAATCAACTTCCAACTTCATTTTTTTCTAATTCATATAATCAGTTTTGTTGTCAGTTAATATACTCTGTTGTATCACATTGAGTTTCTAACGGTATGCATTTGTGTTAAAAGTAACACTCAGAAAGATTCTATTCTACATTGCTAGCCAAGCACTTAAAGGACTACACTGATTAAATTTATCTAAAACTTCTAGATTGCGATAGTATTTTTGCCCATTCAAAAAAAAAAAAAAAAAGGTTTTAAGATAAAAACTGAATCTCTGATTTCAGGAAATCTATACTATCAGTCTGAGGAGGTTAAAAAATAAACTACTGGTCTTAAAAACCAAACTATTTTGTATTTAGGAAGATTCATGCAAGAGCTGGTCTAGGTCAGTGGTTGTAAACCTATGGCACACACAACAAAACAGGTTGTTTATTATCACTGAAAGTGTCAAAGGTTCACCATCACTGGTCTAGGTTAACAATGTCTAAAAAGGTTTCACTTTCAAACTAGATCTGCTTCTTTGATGTGACACACCAAAAACAGGATTGCCAAAACTGCCAATTTTCAGTTAAAAACAACCAAAATATTATTATCAATATAAAACCTGAAAGGCGTTTTGATAATCTTTCAACAACTGAAAAAGTTTCACAGCAGTTCTCTTTTTGGCAACAAACATAGGAACATAGTGTTTTACAGCCCAAAACAACATGCAACAGTACTTTACAAAATCATCTAGTATAGTGATTACATGAAATCTGAATTTTAGAATTTCTTCTTAAAGTGTAATATATGCAACACATTAAAGTGGAAGACCTAAAAATAACAAACTGACTAACAAGGCACAGTAAAAAAAGATAACATTTACTATGGCTTTCTGTTATGCTTAAAAACTTCTTTTAGTATTTTGTGGTTTCTCAAACTACATTAACAATTGTGCCAATATTCTGTTTTAATTCTTCCAAAGAATCTCAGTAGACATAAGTACCCAATAATGCCATGAACTGACTATTATAATCTAAGCTATGCTGTCACTGTTTTTCCATAGAATTTATGAAACAGACATCTTCAATGAAGAAGAGTGCAAAAAATAGAATACAAATTCCAACTGCATTGCTGACATCAAATACCAATGTCAGAAGGACAGCTAGGACTAGAAAGCAGAACAGTGAATTTATTACAGTGAGTCTAACATAAACCAACATATGAGTATTAGAAAGGTAAGCTCTACTGAGACAGTGAAGATGGATGACTGAATGACAAGCTCCAGAATTCCATACCCCAAGTAATGAATGATATAAATACAGCTAAGACTAGCAGGGCTTTCCCTTAATTCTACTTCAAAGGAATGGAGTAGCAAATGAGAAACATATGACTAAACTGACTATGACCACAGTCACTTAAAATAATTACATGAAAAATGTCAAAGAAAGCAGAAATAGAAAAAATTCTAATTTATAAAATTAAAACAAATTAATAAAACACCCTGACAACTAGGATATAAAACTGAAGATGATCCCAACAGAAAGGTTCTTGAGGAAAACCTCACCATTTTTGGCTACTTCTGCTATGATGTTAGCTACTTTGGCTGTGCAGGAAGACTGTGGAGTCAAAAGACTTGCAAACAGCTGAAGTATTCCACTTGCTTGTATTTTTTCACTTGTTTCTATATCTGAAAGACACAAAAAGCTGCCATGAAAATCTTTATTATTAATAGCAACAAGATAATCTACAATAAATTTTTCAAGAATTTTCCGTATAGTTTCAGTATACATTCAAATATACACACTTATATAAAATTATCTTCTGCTCCAAAAACTGCTTTCATTTTAATATGTATAATATACAATACTGTATGTATTGACAGACTATACAGGAATTCTTTATGAATATATCGTTTACTTGACAAACTTACTTGCATCATTAGTTTCAACCCTGCCTACTCAGAACACGAATGCCTTTCCTATGTCTCTTCGGAACACTTACAGCTATAATATATTTTATATAAATTCTATCTGTTTCTATAATGCTATCAAGATCTTTAAAATGGCAACAATAGGACAAGAAATGAAGCTCAGTGGTACAGTGGTTCCCTACTTGGCACAAAGCTCTAAGTTTTATCTGCAGCACTGAAAAAAAAAACAGAAAAAGTCAATTATAATCTTATGCATTTATGTGAAGTGAATGACAGCTGAGATTATGTATTTCCATGTGTTTTTTTTATACAACTCATTCAAACTAACATGAATGAACAAAGGAAAGAGTGAACAGTAAAATCTATTTGATGACAGGAAAAAAAATCCTAATTTCTTAACAACCTATAAAACCAAGCTATTTTATGTACCTGCTATTAAACAGATAACAGGGTATTTGGAATGATAAAGAAATAAAAGCTCAAGAAAATTACTATTTGATTATGAACAATAAAGTGAAATGGTATTGGTTTAAAAATTTTAAGCCTCATCAAATTTAAAATTTGTTTCTAGACATGGCTACTCTATATCCTTTAGTTCCTCAGGTATATATACAATTACTAGAAAACATGTTCCTTGTTACATAAATGGCAAGTGATATGATCAACAAAGGTGAGTTTTCAATATCATAATTTGAGATTGTTAACAAAAATGTTTCTTTGTAATTTATGTTGACTGCTTAGTACAAGGTTTTTCAAACTGTAGGTTGTCAACCCATCAGTGAGGTCTGACTTTGTTTGGTGATGATGACCAGCCATTTTCTAAAAAGAAAAATGGGATTAACATCTACAGCAACAGAAGAATAGGAGAATACTGTACAAAATAAGGTGGCAATTTGCTATGAAGCGAATTTTGGTGTGACTTATCCAAATGGACGTGAATGTACATATATGCATATGTAAAACATATTTCTAATCATGAGTTCTGAACAAAAAATTTAAAAACCATTACTTTATGTACATCTTTACTACCTCAGGATCTGGATTAAACCAAAGAACCGTAATGTGGCTAGTTTATACTTCCATATTTTGTTCTAAAAAACAGTAAGTTTTTAAGGTATTACTTGAAAACTTTACACCTAATAGTAACTAAATCTTCTATGAAACCAGCAAGAACCTGACATAGGGCATGGCTCAGGATTGTGAAGCAGGGGCATCTGTGTTCATGGAATGGAGCTAATTGCAAATCACTCACGCATGCCTCATTTTAGCTATAACTAAAAGAATGTGGCAGGGGAGAACAACAAAACATAGATGTCATATCCTGATGAGACTTTCCTTGGATTACAATTTAAGAATTTGGGAGGATACCTGTGCTTAAACAGAAATCTAGAATTTGGGAAAAGTACCTGGTGGCATGAAGACTTCTATATAGGATTAGAATTTAAGCATCTGGGAATAATCCTTTCCCTTTGCCATTTAAAAGAAAGAACAATATACTACTCTAACACTAAAACTCCAATATTCAATGTATAACTAATAAGGTTTTAACCTCACTTCAAACATATTTTCTGTACTGGAATTCTACTGGATCTGAAAATGTGTATGTTTGTGAATTAAAAGTTGTTCTCATATCAGGGAGCAACCTTCACGTGATTTTTAAAAGAGTGTTACAAAATAATCAGACGCCAGTATCTGCAGGCCCAAATAAACAGCTATTTGTAAGCATAATAAAACAAATAAAAACTAAACCAATCATGCAGTGGGATCAGGAGTCTTTTATAAAATGCATATAGTACTTTTCAGCACCTTTAGCTAGATTACTGTTGACACTGTAAATATAAGAACAGTCTATTTCTGGGATGAAGACAACTGAAGTAAAGAAACTACTTCATGAGGTTGTAGAACACCACATGCTCAGAAATAATACATCATGTAACAGAAGAAATGACAAACATAATAAATGGGTTGCTCAGCATATCCAAACATATAGAAAAAAAAGGTGGACCCCTGTCCAGCTTCCTGAACTACCAGAGGAGGCACAGGATATCCCTGAGGCCTGAGGGACCACGCCTAGCCAACTCCATTGAGCCCCAGGAGCTGAGGGCACCCAAAGTGATTCCAGCACACTTGCACTCCAGGAGAGATTCGGACCATCACTCCTAGCGGTTACCACTCCATGAAGCTTCCTAAACCACCAGAGAAGGCATTGGACGTTCCACAGGCCTGAATGGACCACCCATTGCAACCTCCTTTCAGCCCAGGGAGCTGAGGGTGCACAAGGTGAGCTCCAGCTCACTTGTGCTCTGTCTGAAGAGGTTTGGATCCTGTCCAGCTTACTGAAATACCAAAAGAGGCACGGGAGGTGACCAAGGCCTGACTGAGCCACACCTACCCACCTCCAATAAGCCCTGGGAGTGAAGAGCGCATGAGATGATTTCCAGCAGGCCCAGGGAAAGCTTTGGAATATTGCTCAAAACACGGAAATACAAGAAAATGACAAAATGAAATACCAAAATGCAATCTCAAACTTCAAGCCCAACCCAAGCAAGCCTAGGAGGCATGTACATAGAAGAAAATATAAACCATTCACCTGAAATGAAAAAAGTGAAACAAAGAAACAACTCAAGGAAGCAATAAAAGAACTCAAATCAGAAATAAATGTAATGAAAGAAATGCTGAACACATCTGAAGAAGACATAGTTAAAAAGTTAGAGAAACAATGGAAAAACATAAAACCCTAAATAAACAATATAAGAAACAAAGAGAATGCATCTGAAGCACATTCAAAGAGATATACAAGAAATCAAAAATTCCATTGAAAGCTTACAAAACCACATCAACGAAAGTGAAGATAGAATTTCAGAACTCAACACAAGATTGCAGCTAATGAACAGGAAAGGAAAGATCTTTTAAAAATAACAAGGAATCAGAAAATACCAATTCAACAGCTGCAAGATGATGCAAAGAAAAACATAAGATCAATAAGGATAAATGAAACAGAAGGGGACAACAAAAATGATATCAAGCGGATATTTATAGAAGTAACACCTGAAAATTTCCCAAACATGGGAATGCAAACTGACATATGAATCAGTGAATCATATAAATAACCATAACCAAAATAAAACTACACCCAGACATACAATAATCACCATCCCAGAAATCCAACGTAAGAACAGAAAAAAAGCTTTAGAATGAAAAGACAGAACAACTATAAAGGAAAATCTATCAGAATCACAGCAGACTTCTCAAAACAAACAATGAAGTCAAGAGGCTGGAGTTAAGTATTTCAGATCCCAAAGGAAAATGACTACCAACCCAGACTGATACACATTGCAAAACTGTCCATTAAAATGGATCCAGAAATAAGACACTTCCATGAAAAAGAACAGCTGAAGAACTTCATGATCACCAAGCTAACCCTGCAAAGAACACTGAAAGACAGTATAGATACACATAGGAAAAAAACACTAAGCAAGGCAGACAATTAAACAGTGAAAAGGTAAAGATACAATAGCAGAAAGATAACATGTCAAAAATAAACCAATATATAACAGTTAACCAATATATAGCACCTATAACCATTAATGTAAATGGCCTCAATTCACCAATTAAAAGAAACAGACTGCAGAATGGATCAAGAAACAACATCCAACCATATACTGTCTACAAGAAACCCATTCAACTCAAAAGGAAACTCACAGTCTTAAAGTCAAATGATGAAAAACAATACTTCATGCAACAGGAACACAAAAAACAGAGGGAGTAGCTATTGTTTGCAGACAATGTGAACTTCAAACCAAGAATGATCCTAAGAGACAAAGAAACATATGGGTTAGGGGAAAACTTCAAGAGGAAGAGATAGATACCAATCTCAAATATATATGCACCACATTCCAGAGGACCTAGCTATACAAAACTATTAAAAGAAATGAAAAATCAAATAAGCAGTAACACCACTGTAACAGGAGGCCTTAACATGCCACTGACACAAAGGGAAAGATCAGCTAGACAGAAAATGGAGCAAAGAAATAACAAAACTGAATCACATCTGTAAACAAATGGACTTGACAGACATACAAAGTATTCCACCCAACAACATCAGAATATACATATTTCTCAGTACTACATTGACATTTCCTAAAATAGACCATATACTAGCCCACAGAACATGCTTAAGTAAATGCAAAAGAAGTGAAATTATTCCATGCATGCTATCACATTATAGCACTGTGAAACTAGAAATTAATGACAAAAGACATTGCAAAAACCACACAAACACATGGAAATTGAATAATACACTATTGAGCAATCAGTGTGTCACAGAGGAAATTAAAGAAGAAATTAAACAATATCAACAAGCAAACGAAAATACAATATACCAGAATCTGTGGGATGCAATGAAAGCAGTTCTTGGAGGAAAATTTATTGTAGTGAATTACCATATCACAAAAACAGAATCAATACAAATAAACAACCAGATACTACACCTCAAACATCTAGAAAAAGAAGAGCAAGTCAAGCCAAAGCCAAAAGAAGGGCAGAAATTATGAATATCAGAGGAGAAATCAACGCAACAGAGTCTAAGAAAACAATCTAAAGAATCAATGAATCAAAGAGGTGGTTCTTTGAAAAAAAATAAAATAGATAAGACCTTAAGCAACCTCATCAAAAAAAGGAAAGAAAAAACTCAAATTCATGTAATATGGATTGAAAAGGGTGAAATCACTACAGACTCTGGAAATACAGAGGATCAT